GTATACGCTTAAAGCTACTATAGGTAACATTTCCACGTTGAATGCTATGTTTTATATGGACTTGAGTTGTGTACTGGCGTCATCTCCCCTTTGTGCCTGCGTCAGCGTTGTGGTTGTCTGCCAGAAGCTGTCATACATTAACTGCTTATCCAGTCTGAAGCCACATTGTTACCATCCACTGTTTAGATCTTGGTGCTTTTTAACTCTAGATTTGAACCGGATGAAGGATTTTAGTCATCGGACGTCTGGATCTTAAGTTATCAGAGAAACAAGCTGAGCTAACGTTAGCAGCAGCTCGGCTCGCAGCCCCTCCGGGACGTCCTTTGTCTGTCCAACGGCGTGGGAGAAGCAGTGATTGTTAAGGTGGAACTGCTTTATTCAGTGTGTTTAAGGTGGAACTGCTTTATTCAGTGTGTTTAGTGGTTTTAATCATTTGTTTTGGAGAGGAGGAGACCTCTGTGTGTGTAATATTATATAATATAACTCCTGAAACCTAACCGGGAGAAGCTGACTGCCAATGGAGGTGAAGACAACAACTCCCATGATCCCACGCTGCTTCACAACATCATCAAACATCTTCTGTTATTGTTTTGATGTGAGAGAGCCACTAGCAGCAGAAATTACATATTAACTTTTGACAAATGAAGACTATAAATGTGTCAAACATACTTTACTGACTCTTGAAGTTATGCCTACATTCAGCACACACAAACACGAGACTGTTCGTTTATCTAATCTTATTATTATGACCTTCCCAAAGTCTAAATTAAGTTATACAGTATTTCCTCTGTTCCAAGCAGTCATGAGTTGTTTTTCACTTAAAAAGGTCTCCGACGTGGTTGTAAATCAATTGCTGCTGCATTAAGATCCTCATTTAACAATGTGAGTAACAATTACAGTTAACAGTGGGACCAATACAGTGGGACACAATGAGAGAACTGTTCAGAGTCATCAGTGTCAGACACCAAACTCTAACCTGCTGAAATTATCTAACAGCAGCAGCTAAAAGCCTGCAGGGAAATGTAAACTTAAAGAATATTGTACATGCTTTAATGCTCTCCAAGAACTGTCAGTCTTCCACCATCAATCAGACATTTCTTATTGCACGCTTGCTCACCGTCTGTAACTGTGAAAAGATTACCGGGAGGGGGGGCGTCAGCAGCCCCGAGGGGGGAAAAAGGATCTGAAAGCTGCTGGAAGACGTCAGCAGGGAGGATGAGTGAAGAATATTCTGCTCTGGGTCAAAAAATGTCACAGAACTGGAAATTAACAACTCCGCTACATGAACTTAACATGACTGTTTCCTTTCTGGATGACTTTGTGTTTTGTTCTCGGGGGAAAATATCAGGCGATGTTTTCTTTTTTTCACAACTCCCACAGCTTCTTCAACATTTCCCAGGAAGCAGCTGACATGCAACTGCAAAGTTCAGATGAAGTTTCCTGGAAAAAGAGTTATGTAATGTGGCACTAATTATAGGCAAAATGGAGACACTTCTAATTAATTCATTCCAATCAACTTCTTTCTGAGCCGGGAGAGTCTTCTACTGAGTGTACAGAAGGTCAGCTGACATGCAAAAAATCTAGAAAATCTCTATTCTTTTTACTTATTTGTGTCTTTTTTTGAGTCATGGACTCTTTATAAAACATCCTGATTGTGTATAATTATAATTATTTATATATTTATACTTTTAAACTGCTGTGTTAGGGGCCAAACAGTTTGTGAGAAACAAGTGTTTGTTTTCCACTTTAGTCATTCCTGTCGGTCTTCTGGTCCAAGTGTGTTTCTAAGGTGGAAGATTAAGTTGTCTGCTGTAATATAATCTCTTAATTATAATGACTACTTTCTCTCTTGTAGTCGGTGAGTAAGAAAACTCCCTAACAAGCAGGTAATGTTCAAAAATATCCCTGACGCGTAAGACAACTCAGTTATATAACTCAGGAGATTATTAGACATTATAAATAATCATTTCTTGATCTTTTTATTCAGTATAGCAGAATTTTTAGATATCGACATTTAAGAGTTTTAAAAATCCTATTATATAATTTTTATATTGTGTTTTTTGTATTTTATAACCTTATATGTGTGACAATGTCTGTCTAACCTGAACGAGCAGGTTAAAGCAAACAAAAGTGAATTCTGGACACTCCTGAGATTGTCGGTGTGTGTACATTAGGGCTGCATGATACGGTAAAAACATCATATTGGGATTATATAGACAGATATTCTGATTGTGAAATGATTTGGGATTAGTGGGAAATGATCATTTTGGCAGCACAAATTTAATTTTCACTGAAAAAAACTATTAAAATCGTGATGATGTGACATTTTTGGGGCTTTTTAGCAAACAAACATGATAATATTGCGAGTAACCACGCAGCCTTAGTGCTCATTACCAAATGTTTGTCGGCATGTCGCATTTATTCGCTGGGATTGTTTGTAATTAAGTAGTTTTACTGTTTTATGTCCTGATTGGCTGTTAATGAAGCATCGTGGGTGGAGGTCGCTGCACGGTGTTAGTTCCATCAATGTGCTAAAGTTATCTTTAAATACAGTTTGTTTAGTGATTTAAAGACTCTTAATTTAGTACCGCCTACATTTACAAAACAGAGAATAAGAGTCATATGTACCTTTATTGCTGTGAAGGTTCATTCACATTCATGTATACTGTATGTTGTTATTACACACACAGACAAACACACTTCTTCAACCTAATGAGTGTCCTACCATAACATATGAATCTTCTGCATGATCTACAATAAACTCCCTCAACTGTGAATCCTCTCTTCTGTCCAGATTCTTTGACAGCTTCAGAATAATAATCAATTCACACGTTTGAAGCTATGGTGTGTGTGTGTGTGTGTGTGTGTGTGTGTGTGTGTGTGTGTGTGTGTGTGTGTGTGTGTGTGTGTGAAGTGCAATCAGAACCCAATGATCTAAAGTCACAACACTGTTAAACATCAAAGCAACCAGCTTCTCTCCTCTTTGATGAAATAAAAATGATCCATATTGTAAATTGCTCATCAATACTGAACTACTCTCTCAACAGTTCGTATTTATAGTATTGATACTTCAGGTATTGATCTGCCCACTCCTATCTGGTGGTGCTATTGGATTCTTGATGGGAGTGTATCTTTTATGAGGTGATGTCTCTTTCGGTGCGCGTTACTCTTTCATAGGTCTTAATTTACCCACCATGCTTTGTGATCGACTACAGCTCGTGTTCATTTAGTTCTATCAATCATTTCGCCAAAGGAGGCGTCACTTCGACACAGCGGATCAATACCGAACATCCAGCAGCCGGGGATGGATGTGTCGAGGCTCTGTGTGCCTCTTTGTGTATCAGGCAGACGTGTGTGAGGGTGTTAATTGCTGTGCGAGAACACACACACAGACACACACATGCAGCCTCTCTGCTGTGTTGTTACAGTCTGCGTGGGCGTCTTCCGCTGCCTCACAAAGGAGAAAGTCAGTAGTAACTTCACATTTGGTCAAAAATGAAATAGCGCCGTTTCTTTGAGCTCATGCTGGAGTCAGAGGAGGAGGAGGAGGAGGAGGAGAGGATGAAGTGACTTCCTACCGAGCCAACAAATCTCAAATCACATTTTTTTTTAAACATCTTATGAGCAGCAGACACTCTGAGCACACGCTGCAAAACAACACAGAACGTAATCCCTGAAACGTCCATCATTTCTTCATTAAATCTGAATTCGTTCTTCAATTAAAACAGCAGACCTCAAAGTAAAGCAGTAGATTGCATAGCAGCCTGTGACAGCGTGGGCATGCAAAGCCATTTTCTGGGAGAGCAAACACTGCACTACAATACTGACAGGTACAAATTAAAGGCAAAACCAACATAAAGTCTCTTAGTAAGGTGTTGCACTGAACAGCCAGAACACGCCTTGATTCTACCGGATGCATGAACACAATTCTTCTAAAAGATATCCCCTCATCGGTGGACGGTCCACAATCTCCTATAGGGGTTCAGTTGTGTTGAGATCTGCTGACAGAGTATGATTAAACCATTCAGTGAGCCTCTCTATAGATGGGGTCATCCTGGAAGAGGCCACTCCCATCAGGGTAGAAATGTTGGTTAGTGGGTTGGTTGCAAGAGGAGGCCGAGTCGGGTCAAACGTCAAGTGTGAACTAAGCATGACGCACTCAATATGACAGTTATGGTTCTCTACCCAATTTCCTATCTGAATGTTCAGGTTCTTTTTCAGATGTTCCTGCCTCTCTCTGTCTGTAATCACCACTGTGTAGTGTCTCAATGTCCCGCCCACAGTGCTGTCTGATTGGTTACACATCATGAGTAACATCCTATCAACACTGAAGGCGGGCTGTGTCACAGACGGGGAAATGGAAGTACTCGTACAGAAGTACAGTACTTGAGTAAATGTACTTAGTCACTCCTCCAGTTGTTCAAAGTTCTGACATCAAGGATGTATTCGAAACCGCTTACTACCAGAATGTAGCCTGTGGCAGACAAACAGAGCAAAATCTGCAGTATAAAGTATAAATTTAGTCACTAAATTCAGTTTTTGATGCGAGAAATCAGCCGTGTAGATTTAGAATATTTGGCAGTTTTAAGAAAATTAGTGACTAATTGAAAAAGTGCTCCAAGCTAGCTGACACCCTCCTCTGCCCCCCCCCCCATCACACAGACCACTGCAGCCAACACAGCAGAGGACTTCAGCAGCAGTGATCATTGTCAATGTCTGTACCGCTGTTTATTCTGTCAGTCTGCTTCCCTCCGATCGTCAGATATCGATCTCTCAGGTGAATTTATTGGGATCATAATGGGATGATAGACAGTAGCTGAGCCTGGTCTAACATAGTGCAAAATAAATCAACCCCAAGACCTTATATATATATTGGTTATTGGTTTCCATTATTACTAATATTGGCATCTGTATCGGTTGATCACTGAAAGACCATCAACCTCTAACTTAACCCTGAGATATTGAAGTTCCTCAAACCGTTGAAGATTATGAAGTCTTACCTTGTAGACCTGCCCATAGGTGCCATTTCCAACCAATTCGACCAGCTCAAAGATACCAGCTGGGTCCTGAGACAGAGAGACAGAGACAGAAAGAGGGAGAAAAAAGAAACAGACAAAGTTAGTCAGGAGAACATAAACTGGACACAAGATGGATGCAGGAATGTGTGTGTTTCAACATCACACACACACACTGAAAGGTTGAGTGCATACCTGTGGTATCACCCTGTAAAAGGCCTCTGTGTGTCACCACACTGTTATTATTCCTTCAATAGGTAACCTCTGAGTTTACAAATGCTGCCTGTGGATTCTTACAGACACCGTCCACACTGAGTCCACACTGAGTCCACACTGACGCAGATCCGTTTCCTGTAGAGCTGCTTGTGTAACTTAACACAAGCTCTAATTCACTGAAATCACCAGCTCACTTCCTGCAGTGATATGAATTCTTAAACATCACGGAAACAAGAAATAAACCTTTTCTAATCTGCTCAGTGGTTCCCAACCTTTTTCCTTAAGGGAAGCCCTTTTCTATCATTTATTAAACTGTGACTAAAAAACTGTACAATGAACACAAACCGTGAACTCAGTAACTGCAGGAAGTTTGTGTAAAACGAGTGATTTGGATGAATTTTGAGCAGATTATTTCCTGTTTAAGGAACATTTTACACAATCCTCTGTATTCTGTATTTTAGTATCACTTTTAACAATCATACATAACTAACAGACTGTTTTCTTCTCATTGTTCCATTAGCTCTTTGGTTGTTTTAACTTTTCCAATGCAGGACGAGGACGATCATTTTAAGCACTTCACTCTCTTCACACTTACGTTTTTTGTATGGTTTAAACATGATATAGATATAATGTGTTAAATTAGTGAGCTTTAAAGATTGACTAGCTGTTTCCCCGTTTACTATATGATTTTGAATGAACAGAACTTTTTAGTTTTAGTTCTCTATATGAGATAAAAATAATGGCAGCTTTATCCCTTGTAGCACAAACGTCACACTTTTAGTATTTTTAAAGAAAATCCAACCAGCATCCCAACATAGAAATACATCAAAATCAGTCCAAAGGCAGCCGAGAAAGTCGGGGAAGGTCTCCTTTTTTAAGCTACTCAACACATTGACAATAAAACGTGATTAATACATTAAAATAATATATAAAATGCTTCAAAATCTTTCATTTGGAACCTTTAGATCCCACATTAACATCTGCAAAGAGAGTATAATGCAAAGTATGACCACTGACGATGACCGAGGAAAGATAACGGGTGAATTCAAACACACACACACACACACACACACACACACACACACACACACACACACACACACACACACACACACACACACACACACACACGAGATAATCTTATCTTCAGGCTGATTAAAATTCAATAAACCTCCCAAAACACAGATCTTGATCTTTAAGCATACCTGTGTGTGTGTGTGTGCGTGTGTGTGTGCGTGCGCGTGTGTGCGTGGTGCGTGCGTGCGTGCGTGCGTGCGTGCGTGCGTGTGCGTACAGTAGGCCTCAGGAGAGCGTTATGGATTATTACAGTGGAGCCTCCTGAAGGGGATTAGCTTAAAAAGCAGCGTTCCTTTTCACTCAAGGTCAAACAGAAGCACAACTAATCCTGGAAGACCACACCTCATGTGCACACACACACACGTGCACACACACACACACACCTGTACGTGCCTGTTACATCCCATACCAACTGTACGACCACACGCATGAGGAAAGAAAGCAGGAGCAAGAAGACAGGAGGACACGAGGAGCTGATGCAGAATCTAACCTGTAACTGCTAGTGGCTAGGAGGCTAGTGAGGTTTCCCATTGACATATAGTTCACCTGTTTATACCCAAAAGCATTAATATAAGACTGTATGACCAGAGCAGCTGGTCTTTTATTATGGAAAACAACAAGATTTGACTTCTAAACTCTCCTTCTACTACTGTGCTTTATTCCTTCCTTCTACCTCCCACATTCTTACACTAATATCCGTCCTCCTCTAACAGACTCATTACTTTAGTTTTTAATGCATTTGAGGAGAATTGCTGTTTTTAGGTTTTTTTATGCATCATTGCACGTCTTCCCAACATCAAGAACGGTGCATATGAAGCATTACAGACATAACAGGATGAAAAAGGACATAAAATAGTCCCGACCCTGTTTGAAGTTTCAGCTTTGCACAGAAACAGCTGGAAGAAACGTCCTTCAGAGGAACCAAGAGAGGACTTTAACACCACAATCAAAGGATTTTACTTTTATTGGAGTAAAGAAGTTGATCCAGTTCTTCTACTTTCACTCACAGGAGTAGCTGTACTTCTACTTGAGTAAAGAATGTTTGTACTTTCGCCACCTCTGACAGAAGATGGTAGAAATGTCGCCATCCACCACTGACAACAACATCGATATTGGCTAATTCTGCAATTCTGACCTACGCCGACATTTTATAATTCCTGTTATGGTCGGGCAACTAAAACACCTGGTTGAGGAAAGTGGAAGATTACGGTTACGTCTCCTTCCGTAATGTGCTTTTAAAGACTGAAGTTGTACCATAGAGAGACAGTAAGAACACGAACACGGTCTCTGAGATGAGTAAATGTTTCACTACCCCTCATTACACCTCGTTTAAAGACACTGAGTTGTATTAAGGTGAATGGATTCTTCTTCCACTATGTAACTTTTGGTTTCGGGTCGTGCGTAACGCTTTAAAGCAGAAGTCACACACCACCAACTATGTCACTGATTTTGGTGAAAGTGGATGGTATTTTCTCTCTGAGGTCCTCCGGCTGCTCCGCCTCAACTCCCTGTGATTGACAGAGTAGCTGCTGTTAGCTGTTAGCTGCTGCCCTGCCATGGATGCCTGGGACTGGGTGCTCAGAGCACTGTGTGTGTGTGTGTGGGGGGGGGGGGTTGGTGTTTACACTGGTGGAGCACCAGCTTCAGACCGCAAAGAGGAGGAAGTTATAAGCAGCTGCAGACAGACTGCGAGCTGGCTTGTTGTTGCACTTGCTTGATGCCTACCGTGTTAGAAATGTACCAGGGCTGCACAGTTAATCAGAATATTACAGTTAATCAGAATATTACAGTTAATCAGAATATTACAGTTAATCAGAATATTACAGTTAATCACAATATTACAGTTAATCACAATATTACAGTTAATCACAATATTACAGTTAATCACAATATGCAAATCACCGGAAGCTGCAATTGTTTGATGTGTGACAAACAGCATTATAATAAACTGCTCTAGGCCTTCTAAAGGTTTAAAATGTCACATTGTGATGATTTCTATCATTTTTTATGTAAAAATAAAATTTGTGATGTAGAAAATGATCATTCTCATACTTTAAACATCACAATATCTGTCAGAATAATCACACTGTGGTGTTTTTGAGATGTCCGTATCTACCACAGTGGTGTCTGAGACTGGAGGCGACACATCACAATAAATCCCAACTCTTACATCATGTTTCTTTAAAGGAAAATTCTGTATTTATAACAGGCTGGGTTTCTTTCTCATGGTTCTGTCACTGCTGTTGACTTTGATCACATTTTACTGATTCACTTTCCTCACTGAACAGAGCAGATCAGACACCAACGAGTCCTCCAAAACACCTCAGGCTCCAGTTGGTAGCTGTTCCTGAGCTTCCTATCATATCTGTAAGTGTCCCATCCATCCCTCCATCCATCCCTCCATCCATCCATCCCTCCATCCATTCATCCCTCCATCCACCCGGAGAGGTTTGAGGCCTCTTTACCATCGTCACACTCCCACTAGCTCCATGGACTTTGTGGTTCCTCTTTGAGCTCCTGCAGTAGTTTGTGTATGATAACAGGCATTCTGGGAGTTAAGAGCAGGATTATGCTAAAGAGAACAAAAAACAACATGTGGTCGGACGTTTCCACATCGGTGGTTTTCGGATGATATGACGGCTGTTTTGTTGACAAGCTGTTGTTATTGTGTCAGCGCTCGGGTTCCCGACCTGTTGGACTCTCAGATGTCGACACACCTCAGCAGTGAAGCTGTGACTGAAGCTGATGGAGGTTGTGAATATAAGAGAGTTTTCCAGTAGTAGAGCATTAAAAAGAACTCCTGTCCGTCTGAATAATGGGGAAGGACGCTGGGTAACAAAGAATACGAAGGACGTGACCTTTGTGTAGCTCTGTCGAGACTCTAACAGATATTCACGCTGCCCCTGACCACAGCTGTCGGAGGAATATAACCTCCGTCTGTGGACTGCTGCAGAAGCCAGTCGGTGGAGGACAAAGACTTTGGCTCATAACGGGAGATACGGCGAGAGGAGGAGGAGGAGGAGGTGAATAAGGGAGGTGAAGACGAGTCAGACTGTGTGAAGAGGTGATCAAAATGAGATCATTTAAGGCTTGATGTGCTGCAGAAACAGGAAGTGTGTGTGTGTGCTTGCGACAGGCTTTACGTCACGTTGAAACGTTTCCCCCCCACAGCTCTCTCTCTCTCTCTGCTCCGTCCTGGGTGACCTAATTTCTAGTCGTCATTCCACTGAGGGAGCAAAGATTCTCATTTTTACAGGAATCTATTCTGATCCTTCTGTCTGTCTGACTGTCTGTCTGTCTGACTGTCTGTCTGTTTGTGTGTCTGAATCTGTAACACACACACACACACACACACACACACAGACATGCAGTCCCACCCGGTCGATCGAGTCCAGACTTGATTGTTGCTCTGCAGGTACGACTGTGTTGCATAAGCAGCAGGAGAAAGGTGGAGAAGAGAAAGAGGAGCTGTGCAGAATACCACACACACACAAACAGTCACACACACACAAACACAAACAGTCACACACACACACACACAAACAGTCACACACACACACACACACACACAGTCACATGTCACATGGTTTGAGTTGAGCACCTACATGCAAATAAGAAACTGTGAGTTGATGTTTGTCTGAATGTAACAGCAGTCTCTCTCACACACACACACACACACACACACACACACA